CTGCTGGCTCATGGGTTGGCCAATATGTTATGGGTCGCTCATGAGAGGTTCTTTCTTGCTGTAAGAGGGAAGCGGCCAATCTTGAACTGCAATCGCTTCGAATAGCTGTTTATGTTGTTTTTGACGATGAAGATGGGGAATGAGGTAGGGAGTTCGGTGCTCTAGATTGTAGTTTACTAAACAATGTGCTTTCAGTGTTATTTTGTTGATTTCTTTTTAATTTTTGTTCAATTATTCTTGACATTTGTTAGAAATTGGCTTTCCCTTGGTTTGAATGCAAGTTTTGATGCTGTATACGAACTGAGATTGATCTGCTATCTATCCTACTGTTGTGTATCTACTTTATTCTTTTTTACAATTCTATTCATGTAGAGATTAAGTTTAGAGCAGGTTCTGTTATGATTGTTTTTTGTTCAAGGTTGGTTTCTATGCCTTTTTATGTTGGAGTGGTTTTAGTGAAACATTTAGATACTTATTTATTCAATTTTATCTGTTTTTAAGTGGACCTTGTGTAAATTTTACTGATTTAAAATGAGTTTAATTATTTATGCTTGTGTGTGTAAGAAATGAGTTAATATGAGTAAGTAAAATTAAAAATCAAGGCAAGATGATAAAAGAAGTAATTGAATGAAAGAATTAGAGAGAAGGAAACCAAGATTTGTCCAGTTTCTTTTTTGGTTTATTTCTCAATGATCATTGGTGAGAGATTGACTTTGAAATTTATAAGCATTGGTTTTTTATTATTTACAAAATGACTTAGATGTAATTAGTTTTTTATGCCTAAATTTGACTTGCCCTGTTTTTCGCATGTCTACAATCCATAGTGAACACAAGTAAAGAAGCAAAGGGTGGATTTCCATTCTCCTATCCAGATAGTCCTCAAGTGGGCACACTTATAATCATCTACTATTTCTATTTTTTTGGGTTTGTGACTGTTATTACATCTTTTGTATAGCTTCTCTTTATTAAATTGTGAAACTTTATGGGTTCATCATATTTATATTTAGAATTGTTCACCAATACCTTGACATATCTTTGAGTTTTTTTGGGATGGTAATCATGCTTGAGTTCACTGTGAAAGGAAAGAAATTTCGGATAGAAAATTTTTTGTTTTCCATGTCATTGTAGTCTTGGGCAATTCATAAAAAAAAAAAAAAAAATCCTTTATGAAAGATGCAAAGGATGGATTTATGTCAACCTTTATTCTTATATTTTCTCGTTAATTCTTCTATATATGATTGTGTAAAATATACTAATTATTTTCAAAGTAGCTTATAATTTAATGCAAATTATTTTTTTTGAGTTCTAGTAATGAAGATCGGCATCGAGGAGAGAGAGAAACAGAGGGGGTCCATAATCAGATTGGATACGATGCCAAGTTGATCTTGGATGCACTACTACAGAGTTTCTTCCTCTTGTTGGTGCCTCATCGAAATTGCTCAAGCTCAGGTCCTTTTCTCTTGTTTTCTATTGTTTGTGCATAATTATCTCTAAATTCAGATTTTGTTATGTTAAGTTCCAGGAATGCATGGAGTGGAATTTGCAAGTTAGTACAGTTAGCTGTATCTATTTGTGAATAAGAGGCCACTACATACCTTGACTCCCAAAATGTTTATTCTCGTTGCCTAAAATAGTGGATAGAAAAAAATCGTGAGATAATCTCATAAAGTAAACTATAATATCTTTTTTAATTTTATATTTACAAGAAAACTTGTAAAATAATAGATTCTTCAAATATAATAGAATGTTATGTATGGAAAATGAATAAATGATCTCTTCTAAAGTCATGCGAGCATTTAATAATTCTTACTAATGAACACGTAATTTATCAATATTTATACTCCCATGACAAGATACAAAAATAAAAGAAATAAACTGGTTCACATATAACATGTCAATGTGGCTAGTATTTAGAAGCCTCATACTTGGGGTACAGATCAATGACTATATCGGAAATAAAAATCATGCAATAAGCATAAAGCATGTTTCTTCTAACCCAAACTTTTATCCCCAGTCAAGTAACATGGCATCACTGGAAAATCATGTATAAATAGGTGTGCTCATTTTTAGAAAATATAAAAACTAAGTATCCAAAATCACTATTATGTCATAATAGTTATATAAAACGAGTTAAGTCTTGTTATCATCTCAAAATTGTTCAACTTCATACTTTTGAAGTTTGATCTCAAATCAAAGATAAAATCATAAATTATTTACTTCAAATCAAGAGAGTAGATAATTGTAAGGTAAATCCTAAAAGCCAAGATAAATAAACAATTGAAAACCTAACTTTATGTTAAAGTTTGTTTAGTATGATTGTGTAAGGACAGGTCCGAGGTGCCAAGCCTTGGACTGCTACAGTAATTCCTTTATGACCGAAGTGAGAAATGAATTCAAAGCTCCCTGCTCAAATAGCTGCATGACAATGACAATAAGCACGCCCGCACCTGATTCCTTATGACGAGTGGCACAATAAGTATGGTGGACATCCGTGCATCTGAATACCTCTCAAATTCCCGGTCCCGAAATAATCGTCTGGATAGACACATCAGGCTTCGATTGTCCTGCTAAGCAAGCCACGTGGATACCTCACAAAGGCCTATAAATACCCCCAGGGGCCACCTCAGAAAGGTAATTGAAACCAACCTTAAGCTCTTTTTATCTCCGCTCTAAAGGTAGCCCCGATTATTGCTAACTTAAGCATCGGAGTGTCTACCCCGAGTTCCACCTCGGGGCTTTGCAGGTCTTCCCGGAGTGCAAGTGCGGACTGAAGAAGAACTCCTGGTTTGGTGCAATTACATTGGCGTCGTCTGTGGGATACGAACTGAAAGCCTTCTAGTTGCTCTTTCATCATGGTCCACACTCGATCAGTCAGAGCTGGTAATTCATCTCTGCCTCATGGGCAGGGTCAACCCCCCACCAACCTTCCACCTCTGATCCCACCTCAACTTACACCTCAGCCTCCACCTTAGGTCCCAATTATGTTCCCTCCTGTTGATCATGCAAAAGGAGGAGATGAAAATCAACCTCATGCCTCAGCTCACAATTCCACTTCCACTGCCAACCAAGACGTAGTGACAGCTCAGCTTGCTGCCATACAGCAACAGTTCAGTGTTTTTCAGTTAGTACTGGCTCAGCTTTAGCCAGAAACAATCCTGGTGACCCCCTCATTAATTTACTAAACCCTACTCATCAACCCCCAGC